AAAAAGTATCCTCCCCTCACCCCCTTGCCTATGCCACTGTCGCCTGTGTCGTCTTCTTCCTTCAAAAGTAGCCTACCGCCGGATCACCGTTCAATAAAGCTGCGCACCAGGTGCATAATGGTAAGCTATTTGATCTGTGCCAAAGTTTTGGAATGTGAATTTGATTGGATTCGGGAACCAATGCGGTGTGAATTCCGAATCAAGTTGAAATGATTATTTAGTGAATAAGCCAAATGAACGTTTCAATTAAGGGATACCGGTAATTAAGTTTACAATTAACGTGGACTATGAATTTGAAAACTGCTAAATATTCCACTAATTTAACGCTCTGAGGTGGGGGGAGGGGAAAGTGGGCTCCATTTCTTTTACTATAATTTATAATAGTGATGTGAGCGTTCAATTTTTTCTCTATTTTTCGCTGTTCCTTTAGCATTTTTTTTTTGTTTTGTTTTGAAACATTTTTTGGGGTTGTGGGGTAAATTGTGTCTTTATTTGGTCTCTTCCTCAACAAATCTTGTATTTATTCCAAGGTGACTAAAAGTTAAATGCTGTCAATAGGGCTGCACCGATTAGCAAATTGGCCGATTACCGATTAATCAACCTGAAATAATCGATGTCGATTAGTCGACCACCGATTAATTAATATTTCCAAAGCTTTTAAATTTCAATGCCTATTGTAATTATACAAATATGATAATGCCTAGTGTTTCATAATTAGTTGCGTAGAAAAAAAGGACTAGCTCCAGACTTTTTCTCGTTTAAGGGGCGGCACTAACCCTAGCTGCGCCACTGCTGACGATACTAACATGTCGTAATTAAACACAATGATAGAGCCACTAACAGGGTTACGGGGAGTCAAAGTAAACCATGATGTTTTGTTTTTTTATAACCGGGTCAAGAAATAGAAACGAGAGCCAGTCTAGTCTGTCGCCCAACCATTTGAACCTTGCACCTAGATCGGAAAATTAGCCTTTGATCGCCACAATGCAGTGGCCTTCAACAGCAAAGTTACTTATAGAAGTATTCAATTGAAAGGCTTATTGCTTTAGAAAAGTGTTTCCCAACATTGCCATCACCCTCTTTTTATATGTAAGTACATGTCCCTCAAAGCCTAAATGTCCCACATAATCTTCAAAATTCCTCCTACCCCCAATCTGTTTTTTCTTCTTGTGTAGGCCCTGCGCTCCACGTTGGGAAATACAGCAGTGGCTAGCGTCCTTCAAGTGTCCAGGCAAAATTTATGGGACAGAGCAGCCATCATATAAGTCATGAGCTGACATAATATTACTATGTTTGAAACTATGTCTATCAAAGTTGATTTAAATGAGGAGAAAAAAAAGCTAATTTTAAATATCAGCGAAATCTTTTCGATGTCCAGAATGCCAATCTCAAATAGTACTGTTACCTAGGAGAAGATAGTGGAACAAAGTATGTAGAATCTTAAATCGAAAGACAGGACAATAAGATAAGAACGTTTCGGCAGAATTTTCCCCAGCAGACGGGACAAATGAAAATAGGACAAGAAATAGAAACAAGTTAAAAACTTAAGTGATCGCCATTTTATTGCCGGAAGTTGGATTTTCCAGTACCAAGATTACAGGAAGTAAAAGAATTCATGTCTTATTACTGTGAAAAATAAGATCTTAACGGGAAAAAAATATTTTGATCATAAAATATAATAAATAAGAAAGGGAATACAGGGACATTGAGGATCATTAGTAGGAGAGTATTGATTAATTCCATAGAGTGATACTGTGCCGAAAAGCTGAATTAATTTGTTTCCCCCTTCTAACTCTCTCTGGCGTGTTGGTACAGGGAATCAGTGCCGTGATGGATACATCTTATATCCCTTTATGTTTAGGGAGCGGCATCTATAATTTATTATTGCCTTGGCGAAGCTGTCGTCACCCTGCTGGCCATGATACACACATTTCATTAAATTTGTTCTAATCTCTCAGCCAGCCACCCACTCCCTAGAAAATGAAAACAAAAACTAACAATATAAATAAATATTAATCGTATCCCTTTGAATGGACTTAACTATTATTTTAAGTCACTGTTGCGGATGAAATGTAAATGCAATAAAGCAGTCCCGCCCTGTTCCCATGCTACTCTTTTTATTATCTTATTTACCAGTCTACATACATACATACATGCATAGCTCATAATATTGTTTTGATAATTTATTGCAGGCCTGCACAACATACGACCCACCAGCAACCAATTTGTGACTCGCCAGCACCCACTTTGCGGCCCGCGAAGTAACGAAAGTCTTTAAAACTAATATTTTCTTAATAGCCCCCCTCCCTTATTTTCTTTAGGCCAGCACAGGTTTTTCATAAAGTATTACGGCCCACCTTAAATTTTGAGTTGTGCAGGCCTGGTCTAGATTATATTTTCATGGGGTGGGGGGGTGGGGGTGATTAGCCAATTATTCAGTAAAAAAAACAAAAAAAAAACAACAACCCAAAAAGAACAAGAACAACAAAAAACGACTACCGATTATTGGGCAAAGTGGCCGATTATTCTTCGATGTATCCGTGCAACCCTGGCAGTCATTTCCTGGGACGTACCTAGGGCGTGGCAATTCATTGAATTCAAGGCCAGACAAACTACGACATATAAACCTGTCTGGCAATTGTACAGTCAGACGTGATAGTGGCTGCGGGGCAGCAGATGTTTGTTGTCTAATTTTCCTTCTCTTAAGTGAGCCACCACCGGAGGTTTACAGGTCACCCGCCTGCAAGTGCATGCATTTCTTTTGTTTAGTAGTCTGGTATCGCCACGAGTCATGTCCTGGTGGCGACACACCCCGGCACAGTCACCCGGCACGTGAGTGGTGCCAAGTGAGTGGTGCCCGAGTCTTTACGCCCTAATGCTTTGTCTGATGAATAAGGCGTTTTTTTTTCTTTTTTTAAATTGACTTGTAAATAGGAACTAAACACAATGTGGGGGAAAAACCTGAAGGGTGACAACATGAAACAGCGTAAGTCTCGCGTCGGCTCAGAAGCCTTCCAAAGAAAAAAATAAACAACACAGAGAGAGAGAGACACACACAATCCAATGATAGTTTGACAGTAAATTGTGTTTTCTTTGTTGTCGTTGAAGGCTTAGTAGAAGAAATATTAGTTGTTTCATCTTGTCGTTCTTCATGTTTGTCCCTACTATCCCTACCCTTTCCCTAGTATCCCTATCCTGTCCCTACTCTCCCTATCCTGTCCCTAGTATCCCTACCCTGTCCCTACTATCCCTATTCTCACTACTCTGTCTCTACTATCCCAATCTGTCCCTAATCTGTCCCTACTATCTTTACTCTGTCCCTAATCTATCCCTACCCTGTCCTTACTATCCCAATCTGTTCCTACTATGTCCTTACTATCCCTATCCTGTCCTTACTATCCCTACCCAGACCTTACTATCCCTACCCTGTCCCTACTATCCCTACCCTGTCCCTACTATTCCTAATCTGTCCCTACTATCCCTAATATGTCCCTACTATCCATAACCTGTCACTATCCCTACCCTGTCCCTACAATCCCTACCCTGTCACTATCCCTAATCTGTCCCTACTATCCCTTCTCTGTCACTATCCCTAATCTGTCCCTACCCTGTCAATATCCCTAATCTGTCCCTACTATCCCTACCCTGTCACTATCCCTAATCTGTCCCTACTATCCATACTCTGTCCCTAATCTGTCCCTACTATCCCTAATCTGTCCCTACTATCCCTAATCTGTCCCTACTATCCCTACTCTGTCCCTGCTATCCCTAATCTGTCCTTGCTATCCCTACTCTGTCCCTACTATCCCTAATCTGTCCCTACTATCCCTACTCTGTCCCTACTAACCCTACCCTGTTCCTAGTATCCCTACTCTGTCCCTACTATCCTTACCCTGTCCTTACTATCCCTTCCTTGTCACTACTATCACTACCCTGTCCTTACTATCCCTTCCTTGTCACTACTATGACTACCCTGTCCCTACCCAGTCCAAGTGAGCCCTGTGTATATTTCTTAGTACTTCAACCTGAACGCCATAATACAAAGATATTTTCTTTGCATTTTTTTTTATCAAAGGGATAGCCTTCAAATTTAATTATTTCAGAGATTTCAATTCTTTTAAAATACAATTCTATACAATAAATTATTAGCAATATTGGGGATTCTTATTGAAGTTAAGATTCTAATAATCATTTTTGGCTAATAAAATAAAAAAAATAACTAGGACATAATCAACAAATATCGAGGACATAATAAACAAATATTGAGGACATAAACAAAAAATATCTAGGACATAATCAACAAATATCTAGGACATAATCAACAAAGATCTAGGACATAATCAACAAATATCTAGGACATAATCAACAAATATCTAGGACATAATCAACAAATATCTAGAACACAATCAACAAATACCTAGGACATAATCAACAAAGATCTAGGAATAATCAACAAAGATCTAGGACATAATCAAAAAATATCTAGGACATAATCAACAAAGATCTAGGACATAATCATCAAATATCGAGGACATTATCAACAAATATCTAGGACATAATCAACAAAGATCTAGGACATAATCAACAAAGATCTAGGGCATAATCAACAAATATCGAGGACATTATCAACAAATATCTAGGGCATAATCAACAAAGATCTAGGACATAATCAACAAATATCGAGGACATTATCAACAAATATCTAGGGCATAATCAACAAAGATCTAGGACATAATCAACAAATATCGAGGACATTATCAACAAATATCGAGGACATTATCAACAAATATCTAGGACATATCAACAAAGATCTAGGACATCATCTTCAGAAGCCCCCTAACATCGCCAAAAGGTTTTGTGTTTGATTCACTGTGGAAATAACACTAACTATGAATTACTATTTTGTTTTCTTCTATATTACAAGCACTGCAATGCCTTGTTCTTAATATTTTACTTTAATGAAGAGACTGCAGTTTCCACACACATTGTAACAGACCAGGGATCCCCAGTCTCTTTAGTTCTAATGAATTATTTTTATACAGGAATTGGAAAACTTCAAATATCAAAACTTCAACTTTAAACAGAAAGTGAACTTAAATAATGTTTAATTGCAATAAATTTAAATTTAAAAAAATCCAATAAGCTGAAAAAACATTCTTTTAAACATTATCATCAAATGATCACATAAAAGCATTGACATGACCCTCAGTTCATTCATTTGCCATAGACCATAAAAGAACAACAGTAAATGCATCCAGTGTTAATAATCCAAAGTGATCAGTAACAACAAAGAGTATTTGTCTGAGATTAAACAGGAGTCATTGACATGCCAGACTCATGATATTTACACACATCATCAAAATTATACACATGTAAACATGACTCATCCTTCTATACGTTTCAAAATAAATGGGTAGGCTAAATGACATGTCCACATAATTCATATTTTTCTCATCTTGTTGTGTTTTTTTTTCCATTAAAAGTTCAAAAATGTAATGTACATAATAAAAGATTTAACATCTAATAACATTTAGCTTTAGAACAAGTACATGATAATTTAGTGCTGTATGTTAAGCACCACTGCTGCTGGCAAAAGCTTAACTTGAAAAATAACCTGAAAAGATTGGCCAGACAGGACATTTCTTGTCCACAAACAGTTTGGTGATGACATTTCACTTCAATTTTTTGGGGTAATTTTTCTGGAATTCAACCATTGCAATAATATCTTAATTGCCAATGGGAATGATCGTCAATGTAACGTAATCCTAAAAAAAATCTTAGACTTATGTAACTCACAGCCAGTTACAGCTATTTTACATCATCCCAAGAAATGAACAAATTAGAAATATTTTGTCTATAATTCTTATCTCTTGGCTCAGTGCAAAACAAATAAATAGCTCTACTGGTCCAATAATTAGCAATTGCAATGTCCATCTTTGGAAAAAAAATATGGTTGTGGTCTGTAAAAGTAATTAACTAGTATGTACTGGCACAAAAATTTTAAAAAAATAATGTCTACCATTTCCTGTTAACTACATAGATATACAACACATTAAGAGTGTTTGTCGCTGTCTTTAACTATTTTTGCTGTCGAAGGATTTTTGGCAGAAAGGTACACTTTCTTGTATTGTCCTTCAGGTTTTCTTCTACCCTTTGTATATTTCTTCTGTTATAACCTCAACGCAGTCTTCCATGTATTCCTCTTATTAAAATTTTGGCATCTTGAGGGTAAAGATATATTGTAATTTATTATAAGGTTTATATTAAGGTAAACAGTTACAGTGGCTCAAGCATAAAGTAATACATAAAAGCAGCAACAACAAACAAACATTAGCTTCAGAGGCTAAGGTTACACACAAGTTATTTAATTTTTCTATTCAGACTTGCTGATCTCTGAGAGTTCAAAAACATGTATCAACCATAAACACTCCGCAAATGTTGGCATTAAAAAAAAAAGTCTGGACTTGCGCACATTTCTAACAAAACAAAAAAAAATCCTTTTATATTAAAATTCTTGTTTTAGATCTTTAAGTTTAAAAAAAATACTCTTTTAAAGGTATATTGTGCAGTAGATCACAAGAAAAGTATTTGCCAGTATAACCAGATAAAAAAACTTGAACTACATGTACAACATCTTGAACCACTTAAAGCAGCTACAGAGTTTGGTTAAATAATTTATCGAAAAAGATAATTTCATCTTTATAATATAAACAGAGGTTCAATTTTCTTAATCTGAAATATTTTTTTTTCGGCTTCTCAGAGCTTGCTTCAATTTTTAATTTGAGACAATGGACAGAAGGTGAAAAAATTCAAACCTAAATTGAGCTAAAATTGTTAATAATATAGACTCATTCCAGTTATTCAAAGTACATTTTATCCACAATCCTATCACAGCCTGTTCCAACAAACGATAATATCATTAAACTGTTTCATTTTGTCCCTTCTCCATGACGCTATGAAGTCTCTGCATGCGGGCGTCCTGTACATTCACTGAGTTCCCAGCAAAGCTGCGGTGGTAAAGCTGCATCAGCTCCTTGTAATCATTCATGGTGAACTGAGGACCTTTCTCTGCTATAGAGTTCAGCATCTCCTAAACAACATGGATAAATTACAACATAAAATACCACGATATAAGGAAATCTTTTAATCACTAATCAGTATTTTTGTCAAATATTCAATGAAAAAAGTCTTATGCGGTTATAACTTATAACGTGACTTATATTATAAAAAAAAATTGTAAAAACAAATATTTAAAATTGGATTAGCTTTTATTTTAAAGAAGATCTCAAAGTCTGACCATAACCCCCCCCCCCCCAAAAAAAAAACAACAACAAAACAACTTACAACCTGCTGTTCATGTAACAAGTAGACTACCCAATGAAATGAACCAATAATTACTATAAAGAAATCCATTGCAAGTGTGTCAATTTAAAAAACAACCAACCCTCAAAACCCCTCTTCTAGTAAAGAAGAAGATGGCAGACTTTCCACGCCTGCTTCCTTTCTCATGTTAGGTGGTAGATTAAGCCAAGGTCATTAGTTTAAAATAAGATCAATAGTTCTAATTTTGTCATCTTTTAAGATGCCAATTTTTTTATGCCACAATTTGTGAACAGACAAAAGATCCCTGAACCAAACTGAGCTGTTCTTGAATCAAACACTTACATCTGGACTCAGGTATAACAATTCATAGAACTGTTTGGCTCTGTCCAAATCTGATTCCCTTGTTAGAGTTATATTAGTTAGGTTCTGCTGAATGGCAAGTATATTACGACACCTGTGAGATATATTAAATAACTTGATTAGTATATTATGAAAACTGAAATATAATTAAAACAAATGATAACAACTTTCTGTTTCATGATTTCTTTTAAAACTGATCCTCCACTGACATCAAAGATAAAGGAATTGTGATTTGTTACTTTGAGGAACTCTACCCACTTTTTAGTTAAGACATGTCACCCAATCAGATGACACCAAGCTGATAAATATATGGAAATTACATCACACAAATCTACATCAAGACTAGAAAAAGTTTGACACATAATGATTAAAAGCAACCTACATCTTTTTGATCCCATTCTCATTGATCTTGTTGAGGTATTGGATGTTGTTGATGAGGATGGCCGCCACTAAGTAACCCAAACTTTCAAAAATATATCTGTCAATATAAAAATACATCTTTAGTTTACAAACATTCCAAATAAAATATTGCAGTTCCCAAATACGTTGTGCTAAAGTGACCAGGGAACCCAAACTTTGAAATATCTATCCGTCAATATAAAAATAAAACTCTAGTTCACATATGTTTCAAAAAAATAATATTGCAGTTTATTTATTTATTTATTTAGGCATTTTTATATAGCGCTTATCATAAAGCTCTAAGCGCTTTAAAATTATTAAAACATGTAAACTAAGTAAAATAAAAATGAGACACTAGGATAGTAACTACTATTCTATAGAAACAATGAATAACATAATCTACAAAATCGATTTACCTTACACTGTTGATTTCTCTAGCAGATTATTTAACTTCAATTTGTATAAAATGAAATTGATATGGTTCACCCAAAGGACATATGTTTAGGTTTTTACTGTAATATAAAAAAAACAAACTATATGGAAGGAGGGTTAAACCACATTTTAGATTTACTTGAATTTCTTGGGTTGTAAGCTTTGGGTCATCATCTCCTCCGTGCTGCTGAGATCCTTGTTTAGCTTTAGGACATTGGAGTCTGGGTCAAGGTCATCTATAGGCCCAGCATAGTTGGACTGAAAGAAGAGTACGGGTTAAAATTTGTGACAAGGCGAATAAGGAGAGTTAGTTTATAATTGTTCACCGAGCATACGTTTAACTTAAGTTTTGTATTTTGGGTTACAATAGGTGAATAGGAATGCTTTTTGATTCATCTGAAAGACAGACCTCAGTGTGAGAAAATGTTAAATAGTTTTTTAATTTGAGGAAATAAATCTAAAAGCTTTGTACATAAATAAAAATGAGCAAATTTATTTCTAATCATAAAATTTATGTTTGAAAACAAAATTTCCTTTCCTTTCAAATTTATAAATAAAGCAAAATCCATTTGATAAAAAAATTAAATTGAGGCATTTATCCCGCAAAAAAATTTTTAAAAATTACTTTTAAAGGTATGTGATTATAGAAGCATTAATTAAGCGAAATTTAAATGCTTTTCAATGAAAATGCCTGCACTTGCTTAAAGTTAAAGCTGAGTGATAAAAACAAATACCCCCATAACTGAAAAAATAAGGGATATAAAGATGACCAAACAGAACAAGCACATGTGTTTCCTACCTGTCTGGTGACGGGGAGCAGATAATAGAAGCAGTGAATCCTGACCTCAAGGTGAAGCAAAAGAAGACAAATCTCAGCCAAATCTTTAAAATCTTTCACTAGCTGCTTGAGGGATCTAAAATCAACAGAATTAGAAATACTGAACTAAAAAGACAGTTCCAGAGAAAACCAAACTGTAATTGCCATAATGGAAATATTACAAGTGTAATGAAGTAATACACGTGTAATTGTAGTTAAAATGGTAAAATATAGTGTACTGACTGCTGTAATGGTGTGAGTATCCTATATCAGCTTTACAAAATAAACAAAAATGGACAGTTCATTGGTATGGTGTATGATAGCTATTTAATAAGTAATGATAGCTACAAACTAGTTTTTCCCATTGTATACAGTTACATACACAAAAGATGTTTTTTTAAAAACAAGTTTAATCTTTGTTAGTTCATTGCCTTCTCAATGTGTTGAACAACACAAATAATGATAGATTGTATTTTAAAAAAAAATTATTGTGAAAATTATACACCATAACCCACATAAAATTATTCAAAATAATAAGTGCAAATGCTGAAGGCAAAAACAAAAACAGGAACTTACTCATTTTGCTAATCTAAAAAGTAAAAACTACAACTTGTTTGTTAAGTTCCCTGAGATGGTATTAAGTCATCAAACAGAAATAAAAACATTAGAAAGTAAATCAAAACTTACAGCAGTGTCTTTTCTGAAATGGGAGGCAACTCCTGAAATTAAGATAAGAACATTTTCAGTTCAAAACAACTTAACGTAACAGCAAGAAAATAAAAAACGCAGGGTATAAGGAAAGCCTAAAACAACAAGCCAATACAGTTGGTGTGCAGTTTCCATTATAATTATAATTGTAAAAAATAAATAAAATACATGTGACTGCGGAGAGGAGTCAAAAATGGAAAATGTAGAACAAACCAGAAAAGAAATTGAAATGCGTCAACCAGAAAAATCACAACAATTATAGTAAAACTAGTAAAATTCTTTCCTCATCAATGGGCCAGCACAAAACAAAAGTTTTAGCACAATTTTTAAAATTTCAACCAAATTTTTTTTTTAAAAAGTCAACTTACAGTGGGCAACTCTTCCTGAACTGGATTTAAGTTGTTCTGTGGAGTTAAACTGGCAGCAAACTGATCAAGGCGATCAGCAAACCATTCCTGAAGAAAATTTAATTTTAAAAGGTAGGATTTTTTTTTCTTAGTCTGGGCCATCCTAAAACTTAAGGAATGGTACAAGGTAATTTCTCTTTTCAACCTTCTTTAAATTCCAATGTCACAAAAATATTCAAAATGGAATTAAATTTAATTAAGAAAATTAGAGTAAATGCTCCCCTGTCTGCTAGGCAGACATGAATTATTTTATTTTCCGAGGCAGTGCGGTTTAAAAGAGTTGAAGTAACAAACGAGTTATTTAAAGACTGTCTTTTCCCCTGTCAGGATAAATTCATGCTTAAATGCTTTTATTAGAATTGGATGTAGTTTTTATATCGTGTATTTTACAATGACTAACACAAATTATTTTTTGTGCCATTTGCATTGCAATTTCATTGAATTTTTATTATTATAATCTTTTTATTATGCCTTATATAAATGAAATAGAAATGAGCATAATTGTATGTAAACTGATGTGCAGTTTATAATTTAAACATATGAGAGGATGTAATATAAGTGAATCTAAAATCAAGATTTACCAGACTTTCATGCACATTGGCAACTGTTCTCATCTGGGTGACATCAGTGATGATTTCCTGCTGTGGGATGATGGCCTCATCGCCTGACAGATTACTGATGAGGATGCCAGACTCTTTGGAGTTAAGTGCCTCTATTTCTTCTTCAGAGCAGATTGTTCTGTCCAGTTCCTTCCTGGGTTGCAGACTTCGCCAGCTTGGTAATGACCTGAGGGAGAAAGTACCTTCAACTCAAAGAAATCCAAATAAATCTTCAGTAACATGAAAGTCCTAGAATTAGAGAAAATTGTCACTCATTAATAATGTTGGTATGCAACCCTATTGCCTAACCAATGCAGTGGTAGGGCTGCCCTAGTGCCCATCCAATATGATGGGAGGGCTACCCCATTGCACATCCAATAAGGTGTGAGGGCTACTCTAGTGCCCATCCAATTAGGTGGGAGGGCTACCCTATTGCACATCCAATAAGGTGTGATGGCTACCCTATTGCACATCCAATAAGGTGTAAGGGCTACCCTAGTGCCCATCCAATAAGGTGTGAAGGCTACCCTATTGCACATCCAATAAGGTGTGAGGGCTACCCTATTGCACATCCAACATGGTGGGAGGGCTACCCTATTGCACATCCAATAAGGTGGGAGGGCTACCCTAGTGCCAATCCAATGAGGTGTGAGGGCTACCCTATTGCACATCCAATAAGGTGGGAGGGCTACCCTAGTGCCCATCCAATGAGGTGTGAGGGCTACCCTATTGCACATCCAATAAGGTGGGAGGGCTACCCTATTGCATATCCAATAAGGTGTGAGGGCTACCCTATTGCACATCCAATAAGGTGGGAGGGCTAACCTAGTGCCCATCCAATAAGGTGTGAGGGCTACCCTATTGCACATCCAATAAGGTGTGAGGGCTACCCTATTGCACATCCAATAAGGTGTGAAGGCTACCCTATTGCACATCCAACAAGGTGTGAGGGCTACCCTAGTGCTCATCAAATATGGTGGGAGGGCTACCCCATAGCCAATCCACACAAGTGGTGAATATAACTTTGAAATTAAAAAGATCTGCTTTACTCAATGCTTCAAATACAAAACTTTGTCCTTTAGTTAAAAATCCAGCAAATAGCAGAACTAATGTTGAAACTTGTCTACCGAATGCTAGTTTTTATAGTTAACATTATTCTTGAACTGAAAGAACTTATACTGGCCTATAGTATATACTGCCCTCTGCAGATGACAATTGAAGATGCATAATGGAAGATGCATTAATTTGCTCCATTTTAACTCATGTCCTTTATTTAGCTACTTTTCAACAGTGTGACAAAACCCACTAAAACAGTGTGACAAAACCCACTAAAACAGTGTGACAAAACCCACTAAAACAGTGTGACAAAACCCACTAAAACAGTGTGAAAAAACCCACTAAAACAGTGTGACAAAACCCACTAAAACAGTGTGAAAAAAACCCACTAAAACAGTGTGACAAAACCCACTAAAACAGTGTGACAAAACCCACTAAAACAGTGTGACAAAACCCACTAAAACAGTGTGACAAAACCCACTAAAACAGTGTGACAAAGCCAACTAAAACAGTGCGACAAAACCCAATAAAACAGTGTGACAAAACCCACTTTTAACAGTGAGACAAAACCCATTTTTTAACAGTCTGACAAAACCCACTTTTTGAAATTCTCCTCAAAGTGATAATTCTGGAAGTTAGTTATGTTTATGTTATTTATATTTATGATTTTTACCTGAGAAATCGACTGATGTCATCATCCTTTGCCCAAGTGGCACTGATGATCCTTTTCTCATCGGAGCCATGTTGGACAATATCTGGAGAGATTAAAGATAGACAAGGAAAATAAAAATAAAACCCAATTAACTGCCGACAACTTGAAAAAAATGATGACATTTTATCTGGACACAGTAATCCTTAACAACATAAGCCAACACAGGGGTTCTTGCATTTTGTGCAGGACCACATCCCCTCTATATTTCAAAACATTACTCGCCATTATTGTAATAAAATACATAAATCTGAAAATAATTCAGTTACGGTAGTTTTCCTTCTCTAATTAACTTGCAAGGAACAATAAATGCACCTGCAGAAATGCCATTGGGATTTACCTCTGTATGCAGAATGACATTTCTCTCTGTAGTCCCTGAGTACATTGCATATCATGTTGAGGAACTGGTCAGCGTAGTCTGGGAGGTCATGCATCAGGTCCTGGAGTTCTTGTATGCTGCTGTCTACAGTGACTGTGCTCTGGGGATGTATAAAAAGGTCATAAAACACAGCTCTTGTTGTGGAGTAGAGTAGCCTTAACTATTTTATATTTTGATATGTTGTGTCAGCTTAAAGATACAGGTCATGCAAATATAAAGTCTAGCAAAAATACAGTCTAGAGTTAAAAATTTGCTCAAGAAATTAAGTTACAGAAATGACAGTGCCAGTAGCATCTAAGAGATTAATTAAAGATGCTAAAGGACGGTGTCAGGATTCTCTGAATATTTTATCAGTCCATGGTCATCTCCCTATCAAAATAATATGACATATTAAGGAAAATCAACTAAATCTTGACAGACAGTCTAAACAAGGAAGATGATCTTTATATAAAAGCTTTGAATCTAGGGATTTTCAGTGGCGCTTGGAGCTGGAGCTAGATTGGAGCTGGTAAATTTTCTTACTGCTCCGAGCTCCAGAATTTTTTTTTTAAATTTAAAAATTTTAAAAAATTTAATAATTTGAACTTTACTTTTTCTGCCGAAAAGAAAAGCCTGCTCCTAATCCCTGTTTGTATTAACTAACATTAACAGGCTTAGTGTAGTCAATGAAATAGTGAAACGAGGTATGTGGAAGCTTGAAATAAGGTAACGGGACAAAAAACAAGGACGTTTCGGCATAAAGCCTTCCTCAGCCAACAATAGAAATGAAAATATAACAAAGAAAAGAACACAGTAGGCTTTATGCCGAAACGTCCTTGTTTTTTGTCCTGTTACCTTATTTCAAGCTTCCACATACCTCGTTTCACTATTTCATTCATTTACATAGCTTGAAAGCAGTCCCTTCATTTATTTATTTTTAGTGTAGTCAGAAGGTTTCGGAGCCAAACCCCATTCATTAGACCCAAATTAAAGTATTATGGTTCTGATTAACAGCCTACATCTTCTCTAATGTCTGACTTTTTTGCAATAACATCCCTAGTTGGGTAGGTGATGAAAGTGGAAGGTTATAGTAGAAAAAACAACATCCCTAGTTGGCTAGGTGATGAAAGCGGAAGGTTATAGTAAAAAAAGTTACTTTCTATCACAAAGCTTTACAAAGGAATTCGTGAAGTCGACAATTTCAGTTATTTCCAAAACTCTCCCTCAACAATTACCTGCAGTAGCGGCCGAGGCACCCCTAGCTCTCGCCTTGTTTTTTCATCTATAACATTTCGAAGAGCATCAAAACCTGCAAGCAAGTATTTAAAAAAAATAGCAATAAAAATACACACAATTACATAAAGTCTTATCATTTAAATATCATTTTTTATATACCAGCTATTTTAGTTTTAAACCATCAGTACCTCTGATATAGCTTTAACACAAGATCAAAGACACTATTTGTATCACATTCAAGAACTTGGCGTTTTAATATTTCCATCACTGCCGTCTTCTTTTCTTTAATAATAAATTACTTTTTAGTTCAACTCTGGTCAAACAAAGCCCTCAACGCAATAAAATAAACCAATTTCATTGAACTTCGAAGAGAGTGAACTCTTTATGAATAACTATGAAACTTAATTTGTTATCACGTCGTATTAAAACAATGAGGTGACACTGAGCATGACAGAAACAATGCAACTGACATTTACTAGATCAATCATAGAAAGTGCATAGCAAGCTGGGTGACACAATGTCCACTACCGCCCATGGAAGTCATTGGGAAAAAAAAATATCTTTAAAATCAGAAAGGATGCTCCAAAGTGCATTGATTGGTGATTAGTTTTGTTTCCCCGTTGAGTCAGTCAACAGAACAACAAAGAGTCAGAATCTAACGTCCAGGTTTGGACATAAAACCCCTCCAGTGTTTGGAGACTGTGGTGCCCTGAGTGTTGTAAATAGTGGTCTCTTGTTCCTAATGAGTAAGAGATATTGTCACCCCAATTTGGTTTGAGATGTTGCACCTCATATGTTGAAGATGTTGCCCCTATGTGTTGGACATGTTGCCTCTAATGTGTTGGGAATGTTGCCTCTAATGTGTTGGACATGTTCCCTCTAATGTGTTGGGCATGTTGCCTCTAATGTGTTGGGCATGTTGCCTCTAATGTGTTGGACATGTTGCCTCTAATGTGTTGGACATGTTGCCTCTAATGTGTTGGACATGTTGCCTCTAATGTGTTGGACATGTTGCCTCTAATGTGTTGGACATGTTGCCTCTAATGTGTTGGACATGTTGCCTCTAATGTGTTGGACATGTTGCCTCTAATGTGTTGGACATGTTGCCTCTAATGTGTTGGACATGTTGCCTCTAATGTGTTGGGCATGTTGCCTCTAATGTGTTGAACATGTTGCCTCTAATGTGTTGGACATGTTGGCCTTAATGTGTTGGACATGTTGCCTCTAATATGTTGGACATGTTGCCTCTAATGTGTTGAACATGTTGGCCTTAATGTGTTGGACATGTTGCCTCTAATGTGTTGGACATGTTGCCTCTAATATGTTGGACATGTTGCCTCTAATGTGTTGAACATGTTGGCCTTAATGTGTTGGACATGTTGCCTCTAATGTGTTGAACATGTTGGCCTTAATGTGTTGGACATGTTGCCTCTAATGTGTTGGACATGTTGCCTCTAATGTGTTGAACATGTTGGCCTTAATGTGTTGGACATGTTGCCCCTAATGTGTTGGACATGTTGCCTCTAATGTGTTGGACATGTTGCCTCTAATGTGTTGGACATGTTGCCTCTAATGTGTTGGGCATGTTGCCTCTAATGTGTTGGACATGTTGCCCCCATTGTGTTGTAGAAGTTGCCCCAGCTTGCCAGTGGCCATGCCCACCTAAATCAATACTATGCATGCTGATTACTTGTGCTCATTATAACATCTTTAAAGTTACATTAATAGAAAAAACTCTCAATTTTATGCAAAGGGTTTTATGGGCATAACAGATAAAAACCAGAATTATTACCATACAACAAAATATGAATCTTTTCTAAAAGTTTGCTGTGTTAGATTTAAAATATTCTTAATTCTATTGATGGGGGGAAAAAACAGCAAATAAGCGCTGAACCATAATTTAAAAAAAAAACAACAAAAAAAAAACAAAACAACTACACTTTTCTATGACATGTTTTTAAAAATAATAGTAAAAACAACAGAAACACAATTGTATGCTTCAAGCAACAAGTATAGATATCCCATTTGGGAGGCTGTTGGTGACACATTTTCAGGTGAATTCTTGTATTAAAATACATACATTTCAACTAACTATTTTGGTAAATGCAGTCCGTTGGTAATAATCTCATTTCTTAGGCTCTATGACGCCAGCATCCTCAACTAAAAACAAAACTCCATCGGAAGTATACACATTCTTTTTGTAACCTGTTTTCTAAACTGTCATAAATGCTTCTTTTTTTTTTTTTTTTTAGCCAATTCCATTTTATGAAGGAATCTACTTAAAAACAAATGCAACAAGTGCTCACATTGTTATTCATTTTAAAACTAAAATAAAAGATATTACATTCAATTATCATTATTTTTTTTTTTTAAATTTTTTTTTTTTTTTTTTTTTTTAGCCAATTCCATTTTATGAAGGAATCTACTTAAAAACAAATGCAACAAGTGCTCACATTGTTATTCATTTTAAAACTGAAATAAAAGGTATTACATTCAATTATCATTATTTTTTTTTTTTACTTTTTAAGGTAGGTTTGTGAAGAAAGGTCCATTGGAGTTTTTAGCCCTTACTTTATTTAGCTTTTAATAATGATCGGAGAAACCAAATTTCACAAAATTGTTGCAACATCAAAATCATTGTACAAATAAACTGCAACACAAATATGTGGATGAAAAAGGCAGAAGTAACAACTATAACAAAACTATTATAACACTGTATGAACAATTTATTCTTTAGGATCAACCAACTGTGCAGTTTGACTCATAGAGCCAGGGGGGAAGGAAAAAAAAGGTGTGTGGTGGGGGGGGGGGCTATAATCTTATAAATCCAAGGATTTAACATGACGAAAATACATATTTTCAATAAAAGATGGCTGCCTTCATTTACTTTTTAACAAAAAATATTATACCACTTTTGCTTTATTTTTTTGTTTCTTCCTATGAATGTGAACAACAAACAGATCCTGAACAAAGAAAGACACTGAGACTTACACTTGTGGCCATCTTCTTCTTCTTCCACTGAGTGCACAACAGGGAATGAAAAAACTAAAAATTTTGCCATCCTTTATATAAAACAACTATTTGAACAGTGAAACTGAGTAAGGACTGCCTGTAGCTAAACGTGCTTGTTAACACAACAGATCCTGATCAGGAACAATTAGAAAGATACAATTAGGATAATATAAACACACACCGCCCCCACAATTTTTTCACAGACAACGACAGTCCTTTTATAAAGACCACGTAAGCTGTATGCAGTTCTGACTGGTCAGTCAGTTCCACCTCTGCTTGTCTGTCCCAATGGTTTAGTTTGTTATTATCAATTGTTTGTTTGCCTGTTAAATTCCAGGCTAATGATGCAATCAATGTCTGTGTTAAAAGAATGCTAAACTCATTTGTCAAAAAAAACCAACAAACAACCACACGAAAATGCAAATTAATTGACTCTGTGATCTGTTAGTGAGGAGACAATCAAGTAATGCACCAACTCATCACGCCCAGACAGGGAATTCTTTAGCTTAACATCAGCTAGAAATTATTTCTTTTACTAACTCGGATGAAGGTTTTTAGCATGGTTTTAGCAAGGTATTTTTTTTAAACAACAGAAACTCTTAACACAGCTAGTTTATGGATAAGGGCGGCCTGTGTTGTTTTTGACAGTTGTAATAACTAAATGTGAAATCCTAAAAAAGATTAAGCAACTCGCTAGTATTTAGAAAACATAACTTTTAGCATGAACACATTTAAAGCCGTTTTTGGAATCCACCTATAACAACTCTGAATTATTCTTCTCAGTGTTAGACATTTGAAAATAGAATTAACTTTGATGAACTTAGCATAGCTGATGGAAAGCTGTTTGAACATAAAGTTCATGAGTGGAGCTACCCTAGAGGTTGGCACTTACATGGATGACTTTCAGCATCTTCTTGCACTGTGACACACAAGTTGGGATCAGTCTTAACATGGGATACTCACTTAACAAGTTGGGATCAGTCTTAGCATGGGACACTCACTTAACAGCAAGTTGGGACCAGTCTTAACATAGGATACTCACTTAACAAGTTGGGAACAGTCTTAACATGGGATACTCACTTAACAAGTTGGGAACAGTCTTAACATGGGATACTCACTTAACAAGTTGGGAACAGTCTTAACAAGGGATACTCACTTAACAAGGGGAAACAGTCTTAACATGGGAACCTCACTTAACAAGTTGGAACAGTCTTAACATGGGATACTCACTTAACAAGTTGGGAACAGTCTTAACATGGGATACTCACTTAACAAGTTGGGAACAGTCTTAACATGGGATACTCACTTAACAAGTTGGAACAGTCTTAACATAGGATACTCATTTAACAAGTTAGAATAGTCTTAACATGGGATACTCACTTAACAAGTTGGGATCACTCTTAACATGGGATACTCACTTAACAATTTGGGAACAGTCTTAACATGGGATACTCACTTAACAATTTGGAAACAGTCTTAACATGGGATACTCACTTAACAAGTTAGAATAGTCTTAACATGGGATACTCACTTAACAAGTTGGGACCGTCTTAACATGGGATACTCACTTAACAAGTTGGAAACAGTATTAACATGGGATATTTACTTAACAAGTTGGAACACTCTTAACATAAGATATTCACTTAACAAGTTAGAATAGTCTTAACATGGGATACTCACTTAACAAGTTGGGAACAGTCTTAACATGGGATATTCACTTAACAAGTTGGAACAGTCTTAACATTAGGATACTCACTTAACAAGTTAGAATAGTCTTAACATAGGATACTCACTTAACAAGTTGGGAACAGTCTTAACATAGGATACTCACTTAACAAGGGTTTCAATATTTAATATTTATATTCCTATATTTTTTAAAATAAAATATGGGAGGCACCAAAATTTGTTTTGTCAAACTGAAATAGATGGGGTGCCAAAACTGAAATAGATGGTGTGGCAAAACTGAAATACAAAGATCTAGTGAGTGCAATAACATTTATTTTATAGATAACTGAAAGACATCAAGATTTTAGACTGCTTTTAACTGATCAGTTCATTGTTTTGCCTTTAGTCAAGTCTCACCAAACTTCATTGTACTCAGTTTCATTGAACCATCACGCAGTCCAACCACAGTTAACCTTAACATTGTCAGCCCATGGGTGTCGAACTGAATATATGTTACCAACTAAACACGCATTTCTTCTTCAGTGTTAAACTCAGGTAAGTATTCATGTGGTGTGTGCAAATTGTCACTGTCGTGTGCACAAGTTGTCATTGTGGTGTGCACAAGTTTTCATTTTCGTGTACAAAAGTCATCATGTGGTGTGTACATCTGGTGCTAACTGAACTCAATGTACTTAATTTTTCACGTAACAAACATGACATGGGGTTACAAAAACAACTGGTTTGCTACCTAAAATGACGGGCATCAATTTTTAAATGTTTCATTGAATTCATATTTTCCATAGCATAATCATCTGCCATGTAAAGGCGCACTAAATAGAAAGTAAATAAATACAAAATATGTTGCTAATACTAACGCTACTACAAAGACAAAAAAATAATTAGTGAGAAGCTGTGATGTTACACTGAAGTCACTCATTAGATTAACAAAATCTTCACAAGAAATGTGGCTTTGAAAGGGCAAAAGTGGGGGCAGGGGGGCTACTGTTTATACCATCTCCTATGTACGAAAATTGTAATGGGAGTTCCTGAAGGCTTTAAAAGTTAACTAAATGTTTGCACACTGCAGAACTCACCTCTTGTGGCAGCTTCAATATTCTCAGAGACTTTAGCATGAACCTGACCCAGAAAAGCATTCTGGACAAATTCTGAGATGAATTCTTGAAGTCTGTAGACAGGCATTAAAATGTAACAGTATAATACTTATTAGAGGCTAAGTAATATGGTGCAAAGTAAAGCTAAAAAATGTTAAAAGACAAAATGTATTGTGATGTATAGCTCAGATTTACAGAAGTAAAAATCATTTTTATAAAATTTTTGTCTAAAATGCCTTTCTTAGGAAACACAAAATATTTAAACTTAAATTATAACCAAACCAAAATGGGGAGACTTTCAAAAATAGATTTAAAAAAAAAAGAGTTTCTTGCCCTTGGAAAATGCTGTGACAGCTTAGTTCAATAATGACTTAAGAAAAAATGTTACTATTACTACAAATTGAGAGACAAATTTTAAGAAGGAAAAAAAAATATGCCTAAATTGAAGATCAACCCCACAACTGAGAAAACAACTGAACAACCAGTAGCAACCACCTAAGAAAAAGAAACCATTTTCTAAGTGGTAGATACCCGTACTCTAGTTTACAAATATTTGAACATACTGAAGATAATGATATAGTCACTAACCCAGAGGTAGTTTGCATTATCTCCTCAACTTCCAGAATAAATGACTTCAAGGGTTTGTATATGGCTGTAAATATTTTAAAAATTTGTTATTAAATCTAGTGATAATAAATAAGTCAACATAATCAAACATAATTTTATTAATCTGATTTCCAATATCATTAGCTTCTGTTTATTGTGTCACAGGTGACCCTTAAATCAGAGCCAGATGTCGACACTATCAGTGGTCACTATCAGTGGTCACTATCAGTGGTCACAATCACTGGTCACTAATCAGTGGTCACTATCAGTGGTCACTATCAAACATGGTTAATATGATAAATAAAGTTAAGGTGCAGAGGCTCCATGGTAAAGTTTTCAATTTCAAATACTTAAGTCCTCAAAGATGTGTTTAAATTACCTGTAATGTTGAAGGCTTCTGGCTTACAAACCTTGATAATGTGCCAATTGTCAGAAAGACCCAGGGCATCCTGTACAAATATTTACATTTTTTAGAAAGTCTATTTTTAAAAAAACAAAAAAAAAAAAAAAAAAAAAAAAAAGTCTCTTAAAATAAAGGCATTTTTTAATCCAGCAATAATAAAACGTTTCCCTGTAGCTTTAGCGCTGACAAAATCTACAAAAAAGCAAGGGTGAGTGCCAATCACTGGCCATAATCCTGACTCTGCCATGAAGTTAGCAGCCAGTCCTTACCATACACTTGCCTCATCTATCTAAGCCACTTTTGGTAATAGACTAACGGTGGAGAGGGCATTTACTCACATGCTCATATTGCTGGATCTGCTGTCGTGCACTGCTGACACTGATGGCATGCTGTGAGGCATCGAACCTGAACAAGGAAACCTGTCCAGTGAAGAAGGCACAAATATATTTTTGTCCTCGTAATGACTTAGTATTATTCACAAAGGAGCAAAATTTATATGAAAATCCATTTACAACCAACTCTGGAGAGGCAAGATAAAATACGTATTTTGCGACTTTGAATTGTTAACGAGTTATTTGTACTGGTACACAATAGCTAAATTTTTTAACTGGGGGCCCCCATTCCCCCCTTTTTTTGTGTCAGTGTGTAGGGGGGAGGTAAAAGGGGGGGGGGAATTACAAGTTGACTGCACAAGGTTTCTTTACCAGAAGAACACTTTACAAACTTTAACCATCGTCCACAAACTTTGCACGTGATTGATATTTTTATTGGCATTTTTTCCCTAATCAACAGACAAACTCATTTTTCAGTTGCTCACTATTGATCTGATTACCTTCTTGCCTTTGATGGGTTTCCTTTTGCTAAAATACTGGCTGATGTCCATGCTAGGCTCATCAAAGCCAGTTGGAGCTTGTTGTCTTGACGAGATGGTGTTGCTGACATCCAGGTACTGGCTCAACAAGATCTGGAGCTGAACAATTAAAAAAAACTAGAAGTTTAAATAAGTTGTGAAGGGTAAACAGGACTAACTTTATGTCTTAGCCAAATTCTTGGCATTTCTCTTTATGGCTTCAACAGCTTAAATCAGTTTCTTTAAGGGGTTGGCAACTTCTGACGAGACACTGACCGAAGAAAGATGTGCACATTTCTGCAGTGGTTAGTTTATGTTAATCACACAGAATTGGAAGGTCAGAACTCAATGGCTTAGTTTACAAGCTTTATCACACTCCCATAACATGTTGTTTGGTGGACTCACCCGTGCTTGTATTTCTGACCATACATCTTTCATGTCATACAACATATGACTGTGGAGTGGCATTCCAGAACTCTGGTGGAAAAAGATTTTTAAATTGAACAAACATATTTAAATTGTCAATAAACAAAATTACAAAGCACTATTGGAAACTCTGATATGAATCTGATAGTCGATATCAAGCCACAATTTTCTTGTATCAAAGCTCCTAATTAAAAACACATTAGTTCTTATACAAGCCTACAGGTGTCAAACTCTAAGACATTAAAGGTGATACTAGAACTATATGAAGCTTTACTTAAATATATAAAACCTTTGAACAAAAGTCCTCTTAAAAACATTTGAATGGATGATATTGATTTCATAATGAATTCCAGACTGTATAAAATTTCCTTTAAGATGTATTTTTATATATGATTTAATACATCTACTATCACAATTTATTCATTTAAAAAATGGAAACTGTCGTAATAAACAAAAGTAAATTAAAAAAACAATAAAAAGCATGAAAACAAATAAAGTTAAATATGTAAAAAGACAGGAAACAATTAAATCCAACTAAAAAGGCCCCAATCAGAAATAATTTTCTTGTATTTGAAAAATATATTTTGAATGTTCAACTGACCCTTTAAAAAGAGAGAGTTTGATGAAGTGGACAAAAAATCATTTGAAAAAAAAGAAAACACAGTTTGGGCTGCAGTTAAAACAACATTACTAAAATATGCAGTCACCAAAGGAAATGGAGGCCAGAGTTCCACCGATGCATTTTTAAAATCAATCAAAGCTCTTAATAGCACCATCAATATACATAGTAAAAAATGTGAGATATATTTGAAATATAATGGATCTAAAAATTAATGCTGGCCAAAGATAAAATTGTGAAAAGGATGGTTTCATGTCAATAAAATCTCTATGTGACACAAATGTAACTTGGGTAAAATTGGGGAAACAAACTTAAATATTCACACACGTTTTGAATGGTAAGTTTTTAAAAAACTATATGTTTTCAGAATGTAATCTAAAAGAGCTAAAAGTAACATCCAAAAAATTGAACTAACACATCCTAACCTTTTCTTTTACTGTTAACTGTCTTGACAAACCTTTCTTTTTTTTTTTTTTATTTTCCTTTACTTTTCATTCTCTTTACTGTAAATTAATTTTGCAAAAATAATGATTACAGTGAGTTTAAAAACTGGCAAGTGTTTTAAAAGTAACATCCAAAAAATTGAACTAACACATCCTAACCTTTTCTTTTACTGTTAACTGTCTTGACAAACCTTTCTTTTTTTTTTTTTTACTTTCCTTTACATTTCATTCTCTTTACAGTAAATTAATCTTGCAAAAATAATGATGACAGTGAGATTAAAAACTGGCAAGTGTTTTACAAATATTACAACATAATTGTCACCAGCACAACAGTAAAGAATAGCATTCAGCATAAGTAAACAATCTATGTTGTAAAATCATCAATGTGAGTTTCAAAGGCAAAGATGAAAACAACAATAATAAAATCATTTAATGGCAAAGTGGACAGTTCAGCCAATCATAATTTTTATTTTGTCATAATGTATTTTTAAATGAGAGCTTCTCATGCCTGAAAAACAGAACATTGAACAAAAACAAAGTTGTAAGAGATGTGCAACAAAATAAAGATCTTTAAACAATGAAGCATTAGATTTGTAATTATTAAAGTAAGGCCAAAACTCTAATGGCAATAAGAATATTAAAATTCATGGCCAACAGGATTTTTGGGAGTGGACAGAAGGCTGAAAAATGATCTAAATGAATTAAAAAATGCATATGAATATGTAAGGGTAATTAAATCTGCTGACAGCCAATACATGGCCAAGTAATGTTCAGTAGCCAGGAAATTTACATATGAAATGTCTATCTGCTAAATGTCCTATGATATGTAAAAAAAATGTATTGAATTTAATATATTTTTTTAGGACATTTTTTTAATAAAGCTGAAGGCCACATGAATATTAAACCATGAAACTGCTTTTAATCTTCAAATCATTGGGTATTCTTTACTGTAGAAACAATTAGAGACAAAGTTTAGGACTCAACCAATGAATATTCACAATGTTTACAATTAATTGACCAGTCTTAGCTGAAAGTTCGATACTTTTAAAAAAATAAATTGTGCAACCGCCATAGTCTCTACCCAATTTATTGGATAGGTAAATTTACAGTGATGGAAGATTATTTTACAGAAGATTAAAAATTATATGGGTGAGATTTTTGCCAGCGTACTTTGCAATAAAAAATTATGGATGGTTAAACTACTTTTATTTTGCCATAATGCAATTACTTATTACTTGAGGAATGAAGAATAATTTGGGAGTGTTTAATGTGTCAATTCAGAAGACTTAGGGCATAGAAGCAAAGAGCTGAAAGGTATGCACACAACACTGTTTATAGAACACATTTGGTTCATTTACCTCATTGTCAGTGCCTACAGAGTGCTAAAAGCAAAGGGGGAAAGGAGTAAAGTAATTTGCTTTCTTTGAATAAATTTGTGCCAAATTCATAATTGATATTTTTACAAGCAATAATAAGTTTTACAGTGTTATTTGTTAAAAAAAAAAAAAAAAAAAAAAAAAAAAGAACAATTAAAAAGAAAAAAAAAAAAAAAAAAAAAAAACAAAAAAAAAAATGTTAAAAAAAAAAAAAAAGAAAAAAAAAGCAACAATTAAAAGAGGAAAGAAACATGCTTGCTGCTACTCAAAACAAAACCATCTGTTAAATTAATTGATTAATTCACTTTCTTTAATACATAAATTAAATATTATTTTTTTTAAATATTACTTTGTATCTTTACTTGAAGGCCAATTTAAAATAGAATAGTTTATAAATATTTTAACTGAAAAAAAGCAGAGTAAATTGATAACATTAAATCTCCCTTTTTGTGTGTGTGAAAATGCAACATTCAAATTGTGAAAATAATTCTACAAGAACAACATTTAAAAGCATTGGTTGTGAGACATTTAAGTGAATGAATAGTTTGGGCTTATTCTCATAAATATTAATATTAAAAAATTTTAAAAGTATATTATGCTTTAGGTTGTGTTTAATGAACAATTAATTCAATTAATACACTGGCAACACAAAGTCAGCAACTCACAGTAAGCCTGAACACATTATCCAAAAAGATCTGGTGAGTCTGTGCCACGCACCGTGTCTGCTGGAACACCAGCTTGAGGAGTTCATTGAGATATTTTGGTTGGACATGATTGACCATGGAGTCCAGTTGTTGACCAGAGCTGTAAGGTTCATTTTTAAATCAGTTAGCAAAAAATTTATTAAAAAAACCCCCAATTATAACCAACTAAAACATTTGCTAAAATTTGTTGTCTTTTAGGTAGAAGAAAGTATCTTTTTAAAAAATGACCAAACAAAAGTATGTTTTATCTATTATAGAAAAAAAAGATCTTAATTTTTTTTATAATTATTCACTTATACTTATTTACTCAAATGACCTAGGTGCCATAGTTTTTACCTTTCAGCTATTTGCTGGCTGGCTGTGTTAATCAATTTGTTTAGACTTCCCTTCATTCCGAGCTTCAGACGCTGGAAGAACCAAAAAAACAACAACACATAAAACATCTAAATTCAATATTGAAATTAAAAAAACAAAAACATTCTCCAGTTTTTACGTTTTTGGGAATTTCTAGAATTTGAGTTTTGATTTATATTTAATATATTATTGTAATCAAAATTTGATACATTTGATAAATTCCTGTAAATTCTCAAAGAGATTTCATCATTTCTTTTGTTACTCTGTCAAGTTAGGAGTTGTCTTGCCTATGAAAGCTATGGAAATGTTTTATAACTCAATATGTTTTATAAACAGGGGATGTCAATGTGGCATTAAGCAAAGAAAAGAAATACGAAGTGGAACAAGATAACAAAAAAAAAAACTGAACACGTCTACTGACCTCTACAGCGTCTGGTAACTTGCGAAGTGCAAAGAGAGACTCTGCCAAAATGGCAATGAAATTATTCAAATTTTCTTGTGGGTCACTGCTCAAATCTTCCTTGATTTCATAGTAAGCCTTGCTGCTTGGGGTCTCACTTCCCTCGATCTCTGAAAATGAAAATTCAAGGAAACCAATGAATGCAAATAGAATTTTCTGCATTTAATCTTGGATATAAAATAAATATCCATTGGATCCTTCCACTGGATGCGTTGATTAGTTTAAAATTTTTTAAAAATGTATATAAATTTAAGATATGAAATAATCCTTGGGTGGCATGGAATGAATTAATCCATAACTCACTTGGAACTTTTCTTGGCGAGTCCAAGCCATCAGACCATCCCCATACACTGGCATCCTTGCGACTCAGTCTCATCTGACTGCCCCGTTGGAGACTTGATGTTGGTAGTGACCTCTCGTATATTTGTTTACTTAGTTCTTGAATCAGGGTCTCATGCATCTTCTGTTAGTTTAAAAAAAGTATTATTAAAATAAGTTGCATAGCCCAGATAGCAATAAAGTTTATTTAGTAACAAAAATTCCTAGTCAGAAACATACATTCCTTGTCAGTAACATACATTCCTTGTCAGTAACATACATTCCTAGTTAGTAACATACATTCCTTGTCAGTGATATACATTCCTGTCAGCAACATTCATTCTCTGATAGTAGCAAAAATTATAGGTTTGATACTGCGTTTCTCATGCACTTTCAATTCAAATATCATTTATATATAAAACAGATTCAAAACAAATGGATTTTTTCCATGCAACCAATGATTTTTTTTACACGGTGATTGTTTAAAAAAGAAAATTCAGTTCTCACCTCTTTAAAGTTGATGAGATCAAATTTAACTTCTCTCAAGGCATCCACTCCACTCAATGGGCCTTCCAGCATGGCAACTTAAAAAATAAATAGTGGGTGATAGTGTGTTGTGAAATTTACATTAGTGTGTAACAAGTTTTCCGTACAAAGGATAGAAATCTCTGAGAAAAATAAATTGTCTTTTGGGGTCTTCTTTATTTAGTAAACAAATTGCATCGTTAATATAATCCATCTCATATAATCCCATAAAATAAATGGATCTGGATGCTGCTTCTCACAGGCACACCTGATCTTTAACTTAATCCTTAAATGGTGTGGTGAAGAAGTTTACTAACATTCATGACCCCAATTAGGAAAAGCATGCTGACCTGCTTGGACAATAGTGTCAGTGGCATGCAGATAATGCTTGTTATCAATGTAGGTTTTCATTTTGTCCTGCACCTCTTTGATTTGCTCCCTAGGTGAGAAAAACAAAAACAAAAACAATGAAGAACAGTTTAAATAATATTTTATGAATAGTTTAACACAAGTTTCAAAATATGGAAGGGTTGGATTTGAACTCACACTTGTTCCAACATAGAGAGGATGGCTTTTTGTTCCACGCCATCCTTCCACAATTTGCGGAGTTCATCACGCTTGAAATGTAGTAGGGTCTTACACGAGTTCAAATCCTCTTTGATTTTTCTAATTTTATCTCGAGATTCTGGAAAAGAAAAAAAAAGGTCGAAAAATAAATAGTCAGTGAGTGAAAAAAAATATTTTAAAATAAGCAACTGGTTATTATGCACAATGCTTGTATATATGAGTTGTTTTAGTGTGAAATAAGTTGTTAGCATATCACGTTAGTTTTTTTTTCCAAGATAAAATATCATTTAATGCTTTGTAAAGAAAAAAAAATGATGAGATTCAGGTTAAATTAGCCTTTACTTTGATTTTTAATAATACATAATTTTATACAGCAGTGTTGTTTGAATGTCACACTGAAGTCAAAATCTTGTACAGACCAACCAAACCCTTTACAGAAATCCAAAATATTATTATTTTTTTTTTTACTATATCCCAATGAGCAATATTTAATTTCATTTTTATTATAACTGGATTTGTTTTTGTCCATCATTTTACATTTATCTCTAAACATAATTTAAAAAAAAAAAAATTCTTTTTAAAAGAACAAATGGTTTTCAAGTTTTGTTGCTGTTCACTGCAATGAAGGTCTGACTGTAAACATAGCTTTAGGCAAGTTTAGATCATGGGTGCTGTCCAATATTCCTCCTGGTCTAATATCTTATGATGATGGCAAATATTCAGATGTCTAATAAATCTGATGGCAAATCTTCTTTGGTCACAACACGGACTAGTATGATTCAAAAACACATAGTGATTTTCTGATTTCCGCCGAAGCCGAAAATAGGCCAAAAGTTTAAAAATGACTTTCGGCCGAAACCGAAAAAGAGGCAGAAAGTTAAAAATGACTTTCGGCCGAAACCAAAAATGAAATATTTAGATATTTTGAAATTCGTTCCCGCATACATCCTGCATATATAGAAAATGATGGGGGAAAATATAAATATTTACATTCTTTTATAAAAATGAGATAATCGTGAAGATTAATAAATAAACATCTAGTATAGGATCTCAAACTCACTGGCCCACGAGCCATTTGTGACCGGCAAGACGATATTTTGCGGCCAGCTACATGACAGAAAAGTTTAGTGTTAATGTGCTGGCGGGCGCGTTTCCCCCATTCTCATATCTATTCGACAGTTTTAGTCGAATCTCACCAACTAGTCTAATTCTGATTTTTTAAAAATGTTTCTATATATTTTTGTATGATGATTATAATGGTAAGAATCGATTTAAAATCGGAATAAAAGTTTTTATTTTATAGCTTTTTATGAGACAAACATGGCAAAGAGTGCGGCTTTGAGAAAAAAAATTTTAAAGTAAGTTTGCGGGTAATGCACAACCATAATTTTGTAAATCGTAGCAATCTGATACATTATCAAAGGGTCCATATTAAAATTGCCGCTTGTGTTTACAAGTGAGGTAAATTCCGAGCCTGTCAGCTTGGTCACTTTCTAAATCTTCTTCTTATGCCTTTTTACCCAGTCTGGGTCTCTAAATTTTTTAGACTTCAAAACACAGACAGCCACTTTTCAGCTTTTTGCTGACCCGTTCTCTTTTAATGTGCAAGATGCCCCGAGCGGGGAGCTGAATAGAAAAACAGACAATCATGGACATTTTATTGCATTGCCCTCCACCTTCCCTGAAATTTTTAGCTTGTTCAAGCGGATCATATGACTTTTTGGGAGTACCTATCTGTGTGAATAGCTCTTTTCAACTATGCATTTTAACAAGTCAAAGTTCAGGGCCAAAGTTACTGATGAGGATCTTCAAGCTATACTGAGAGTCTTAGTTGCTTCCTCACTCAAGCCAAAGTTGCTCAGCTGTGTAAAAAGAAGCGTTGCCAGGTCTCTGGCAACAGTGAGTAGGTGGAAGAAAGTGAATCCTAGTTCTTGAGTACATTTAAAGTTTTTATTGTTATTTATAAAGGTTGAACAGATTGTAACAGTTGTTATCACTTTTTTGTGGAATACTTAATGCAGCCCAGTCTCACTCAGACACTACCTCCTGCTGCCCCACTGATGATTTGAGACCCTTGATCTAATGAATACTTTGGATTTTACCATTTTAATATAAAAGTAATTTAAATTGCTTTACAATTTTTTTTAAAATTTGGCAAAAATTAGGGGGGGAAGGAGGGGGAGTGTGGGTGGGAATTAATACAAAATAGACAAATAGACTCTTGAGTGCCTTTGCTTTTATAATATAATTACAACCTAGAAAATATACCTACAACAATTATTGTGGCTCTACTAGAGCCAATTGCCACCTAAATATAATATGTTATTAAGGCTATAAAAATATCACAATGTTTTGCTATTTTCGTAATACTAATGCTTTGTGTTTTCATTAATAGCTTACAAGATATCAATGTATTAATATTTAACCTAGTAACAACACATTAGTCTTTCCGTACTGGTGACGTAATTATTTCGTTCAGGACCAACCTCCCTCACCCCCATTGGTGGCAAAAATTATTTTTTAAACCGGGTCTCTTAAAATTGTTGTTTTGATCATGGTTCTAAAAGATCGCTTAATTTGTTCTTAAATACCTCTTTCTTGTTTTTAAACATTGTTTAGTTTGTTCTTAAAGATTGCTTAGTTTGTTCTTAAAGATCACTTAGTTTGTTCTTAAAGATCATTTAGTTTGTTCTTAAAGATCATTGAGTTTGTTCATAAAGATCGCTTACTTTGTACTAAAAGATCAATTAGTTTGTTCTAAAAGATCACTTAGTTTAATCTTAAAGATCGCTTAATTTGTTCTTAAAGATCCCTTTGTTTGTTGTTAAAGATGGTTTAGTTTATTCTTAAAGATTGCTTAGTTTGTTATTAAAGATTGTTCATTTTTTTTGTTAATAATCGCTTTATTTGTTCTTAAAGATCAGTTAGTTTGTTCATAAAGATTGCCTGGTTTGTTGTTAAAGATCTCTTTGTTTTTTGTTAATGATCGGTTAGTTTGTTCTTAAAGATCGTTTAGTTTGTTCATAAAGATTGCTTAGTTAGTTTTTAGGGATCATTGATTTTGTTCTTAAAAATGGCTTTGTTTGTTATTAAAGATCTTTAATTTGTTCTTAAAGATCGCTTATTTTGTTGTTGAAGATCGCTTAGTTTTTTCATAAAGATCGCTTAGTTTGTTCTTAAAGATAATTGATTTTGTTCCTTAAGATCGATTACTTTGTTTTTTAAGATCAATAGTTTTTTCTTTAGGATCATTTAGTTTGTTCTTAAAGATCTTTTAGTTTGTTCCTAAAGAACATTTAGTTTTCTGTTATAGATTGCTTAGTTTTTTCTTATAAATCATTTAGTTTACTATTAAAGATCGTTTGTTTTTGTTCTTAAAGATCATTTAGTTCGTTCTTAAAGATTGTTTAGTTTGTTCTTTAAGATCGTTTAGTTTGTTATTAAAGATTGCTTAGCTTGTTTCTAAAGATCACTTAGTTTGTTTTAAAGATCATTTATTTTGTTGTTAAATATCATTTAGTTTTTTTCTCAAAGATCCAATAATTTGTTCTTAAAGATCACTTTATTTGTTTTTAAAGATGGTTTAGTTTGTTCTTAAAGATCGCTTAATGTGTTCTTAAAGATCATTTAGTTTTTTCTTATATGTCACTTACTTTGTTGTTAAATATCGCTTTTGCTGAGCATTAGATGACCGAAAATCTCGGTCACTTTCGGCCGGATGGCCGAAAGTCGAAGTCAATTTCGGCCGAAACCAAAAAAAACCCGAAAGTTAACTTTTCTCTTTTGACTGAAACCGAAATTAAGCCGAAAGTTAACTTTTCAGTTTCTGCCAAAACCGAAACTTGGCCGAAAGTGATAAAATGGCCACTTTCGGCGCCGAAACCGAAATTCGGTCGGTCTCTAACATAGATACATCTGGCAGAAAAATATTATCCTCAGGCAAAAGCCCCATAGTCAATCTAACCAAAATACTATCTCTCTCTGTCTAGCTCACTCTCTCTCTCTAGATCACTCTGACGCTCAAAATCGTTGTCTCCCTTTATCACCAAAAAATCCATGCACTCGTCCTTGACATGAAAAGAGTTCACCGTACTTCACTAAACTCAATTGTCACAAATCACAATACACACCGTACCTCTGATTCAATGACCTTGACAAGTGCCATTTGTACCCCATGAAACATTTACGTCTTTAATAAACAGGTGAAAAACATATACAGAAACTTGTCCAGGACTAACAAGTATGAAAATAGGCACACAACATGGGTATATCATACAGTTTGACATTGATGCTGTTGATGATTAAGTTGTTCCATTTCATCCATCATTCATTGCAGTTTCTAAAAAAAATAGAACAAATTTTATCGCTCATAAAATGTCATATTAAGTTTACCATTGATGCTTTTTGTCATTCCATTGAAAGCCTGAAGGATCTTTGTAACATCCTGATAGTTGTCTGAAATAAAAAGTATAATATTTCAACTGCAGAATAATTTAAGAAAAATAATGTTTAATGCATACACTTTATTATTAATAAAATAATGGATGGTTAATACCAGTGTGATTTAACAATTCCAAGTTGTACAATGACACTCCTCAACAAAGCTTTACCTGTTACGAGTTCACCAAGCCTCTTGTCACTCTCTCTGAAAGCTTTTTCTATTCTTGTCTTTTCTTTTTCTCTCTGTTCAAAATCAGCACTGTTAAAAGATAACATGTAATGTATGAAAAATGATGACATTTTTGTTAAAATAAGACATTTTTTATCTGCTCGCAACAAGCTATCCAGGGACTAACAGACACAACTGCAGGAGCACAAATGAAAATTGGACTTTGGTGCTAAGAAGACGGAGCCCTTTTCACAAGCAGTGCACTTACTTTGCACAAAATTAAAAATAAAATAAACTTATTACTTTACAAATATAAAACCATATTTGTTCTTGTAGGGAATTGAATAAACTAATACTGCAATCTTTATGAATCAAACTGAAATCTCAACATTTATGCAAATGAGATATCCTGACTTCATAATTTGTGCATGCAATTTTTTTTGCACTTAAAATAAACATGTCTTACTTTTAGAATTTTGTTAAATTTTATTATCGTTGAAGCCTAAATAAGTCCTAACAAACATTTGAATGAGGTTCAATATAAAAGCTGCATAAATATTCCTCTGGGGCTGCTTATGCCCTTTGGCATATATAAAGGCCACATGTTTTTAAGCATTTTTAAGGTTCACTAGGAACAAAAAATTCCTAAAAATGACATAACACTGTAAACTATCAATGGAGGCTGCCATTAAAATGGCCAGATGAGCAAGAAAAGTGAGAAGCGATTTGATTAGCTGGTAGACTGGTAGAAAGACCAGCCAGCCAATCTCGAGGCTTGTATTATTGGGTCCATAGATCGGCCATTTATCATTTTGCCACTTGGCCTCAAAAGGGTTAATTTGCAATTTTCAATGATTAATTTACAATTACCTTTTGTTGAATGAGATAAGACAGACTATTTTCAATTTAACTCCACAAAATGATTAGGCACATAATAATAAGCCTACATTGAATGATACAAAAATACTGTATGAAAGAAATAAGTACAAAATCTTATAATCAACTTTGTTGCAGAATGACCAGGCTACCTTATTCTTTTGACCATACAAATTGTAAAAATGAAACCAATAAGCACAATGTGCTTATGCAAATAAATACTTGCCTTGAAGACAGTGTTCTCACAATAGACATCAAGTATGCAGAAGACTGTGGAAAAAAATGGAACACAATGAGACAATACTTAAGTAACAAAACAGAATTGGTATGCCAAAAACAAAGAACAAATTTAAATCAGCAATAAGTTTATAATGTAATTCTGCGACTTTGTGGGAAGCAGACAATGCTACTATTCCACCATGGGGTTGATTAAGAAAACATTAACATTATTTATCAGGGACTAAAGTATTTAACTTTATAAAAAAAATCATTGGTTGGAAGGTCTTTTTGCATGTCTGGATGTGGCTATAAAGCTTTATTTTGAATAAGCAAAATCTCTAGCATATAGGGCAGCCAAAGATAATTTCCTCTGGTAAGCACAGACAGCTGCCGAATTTCCTCGTCTGTTTCTGGCCAGTGAGACTAAAACAATTGTATTATCATCAGGGACCCTGGCCTGCTCAACCACATCCTTTCATTCTGATTGATCGATTGCTTTTGGCCTCTATGCGCTGACCCCCAACTCGTGTAAGTCCTTCTCTACATAGTCGATCCATCTCAGTCTTGGTCAACAACCGGTCAGCCATCTGCCCCTTGGTTTCAGCCTGTAGATCAATTTTGCTGCACTACAATCCAACATCCAGTCTAAGTTTTCAGTCCAGCACTGTTTGCCTTTTTTTTTTATTGTTGGGACTTTGGGTGTGTCTTTGTACAATTGATGTATTTCTTGGTTTGTACGGATCAAATTGTATATTTTCATGAGAATTTTCCTCTCCCCTGTGTTGAGAAGGTTTCCTGCTAACCTGTTAAAATACAACTGGTCTTATGATAGTGGTGTATTTTACCTTTTTTGTTCCCCTTGAGAGGTTTTGGTTTCCTTCTGGCTTTTGTAGGCTGCAATAAGAATAGTTGCCGGCTGTTATCCTTTCTTTCCCTCTGACATTATTTCAATGGGCTCATTTAACAAACAATATCATCATCAGTGGCGCTACAGTCCATGTAGGGCCCTGGCCTGCTCCACAACATCTTTCCATTTGGGTCGATTCATGACTTTCCGCCTACATGCTCGAACTCCCAACTGGTGTAAGTCCTCTACATCATTGATCCATCTCAGTCTTGGGCTACTGGTAGGCCATCTGCCCCTTGGTTTCAGCCTGTAGATAAATTTTGCTGCACTACAATTTAACATCCTGTCTAAGTTTTCAGTTCAGCCCAGTCTGCCTTTTTTTTTTTTTTTAGGACTATGGTGTATATTACTTGGTTTCAGCCTGTAGATAAATTTTGCTGCACTACAATCTAACATCCTGTCTAAGTTTTCAGTTCAGCCCAGTCTGCCTTTTTTTTTTTTTTAGGACTATGGTGTATATTGTCTTCTTTTTCCCCTTGAGAGGTTTTTGCTTCCCACTAGGTTTTGTAGGCTGAAATAGGAACGGTTGCCTGCTGTTATCCGTTCTTTTAACTGACATTATTTCATTGAGCTCATTTATATTCGCACCTAGATATTTGAAAATAGCCACTCTCTCAAAGGTGTAGTTGTCATCCGTGCGGTGTTTCGTGACATTATCATATAATTTGTCTTCGCTTCATTTACATCAAGAACAGCTTTGACAGAGACAATTTCAAGTTCCCTGAATGCTTTAATTATATCATTACTGTTTCTGCGCAGTACTGTTATATCATCTGCATATGCCAGGTACTGAAATGGCTGGCTATATAAAGTTCCTGATGATCGAGGTTCTGTAGTACCTCTCTGGAAGTAGCTTGTAATGGTTCCGCTGGTGCTCTTGTGTATGCTTCTAATAACTTTTTCTAGCGTGATGGAAACAGTATACATGATGGTGAAAGCTTGTAATGGTTCCGCTGGTGCTCTTGTGTATGCTTCTAATAACTTTTTCTAGCGTGATGGAAACAGTATACATGATGGTGAATCTCCTGGTCTGAGGCACTGATTAACTGGGAACTCCCTTGTATATTCTCCCTGTACTTTGATTCTACTTTTGGAGTTAGCCATCATCATATGCATGAGCCGGGTAAGTTTGTTAGGGAATCCAAGTTCCTGTAGAGCATTGTATAGGTAATTCCTGGCTACGCTATCGTATGCTGTTTTGCAATCCACGTATAGTTGGTATATGTTGATGTTATATTTGTAGCATTTGTCCAGGAGACATCTAATAGTAAAAATATGATCTGTGGCTGACTTATTCCGCCTGAATCCGCATTGGTAGTCCCCTAGAATCTGTTCACTATGCCTTGCCAATTTTCTTACTGTAAGTTTAGTGAGGATTTTGTACATTACATTATGGAGGGAAATTGCTCTATAGTTTGAAAAAGTACAATATTTAGATCCTGTTTTTTTGTGACTTGGGATTGCAATGTCCCATTCTAATTCTATTGGCATTTCTTCCTCTTGCCAGATTCTGAGGTTGTGTATTTGCTTTTGCAGTTTGTTTCCACCTAGTTTTATCAGTTCTGCAGAGATAAGGTCTGTTCCTGGGGCTTTCTTTTATTTCCTTAAGTGTTGGTTGGTTGACCAATGGGTCCGGTCATCCAGCGTTGGTTGACCAATGTGTCCGGTCATTCAGTGTCGGTTGATCAATGGGTCCGGTCCTCCTTGTGGTAGAGCGTAATCCTCATTGGTTGAGCCATTCAGTAAACCTTCAAAGTGTTATTCACTAGTAGCTTACTGCTCCCTGTGATCAGTTCTGCACCCATTCTATCACACGTGTGGTGCCTCATCAAATGCTCTTTCGAGTGTTTCATAGAGTTTCCTTGGTGCGTTCATCTGTATCTTCTGTTGGAGCATGTGCGCAGATTAGCGTGATGTTAAACATATTTCCTTGTATCCTTATGGAGCATAGTCCTTCACTCTCTGGTTTAAACCCAATGACTGCATTTACTGTCTCTCTTTTGACTGCAAACCCTGTTCCTAAGGTGTTTGTGTTGTTCCACTGTAGAATATTGTAAACTCCTTAGTAATTAGTATTTAGTGCTTAACAAACAATAGTATGACAATTTTTATTGTGGATCTACAATTGTCCCCATAAGTAGCCTAAAGTTCCCAGGTCCTTTTTTCTCTGCTGCTGATCAGACTTTTGATATAGTCACTGTATTGCTTTCTAGCTTTTTATTGAAAACTTACAAGTCCTACCCAACTTAGCTGTTTTGTAACAAGCATGGCTTCAATGCTCTATTTACGGGCCTCTTTTTACATCCCATTGTGAGTATAACATCTTTCCAATTTATGCCCATGATAATAAGCAGGTCTCATTGGTAAAAATGTTCTAGCATCACTATCTGGCTTTTGTATACACTCAAGTCTCTAAACCATGTAGAAAAGTGTTAATGACAACTGTCCGAAGGATGCTGTGTCTGAGCCAATGTGGTTCACCACTGTCTGAAGCCTTTGCTGCATGCAGGAGTTTGGGGGTGAAGGAGCACAATCAATCAGCAAAGAGAATTTCATAGATTAACTTACTTTAAGCATCTCAAACCTAAACTGTCATCTGTGATTGTGCATACAACGTAAATGAGAAATACTCCCGGGCCTTTAATGAATCCAGTCCTAGCTTAAAGCTTGAAACATTACCATGACCTTATTAAGATTTTAAAATAACATGACCTTACTTAGATTTTAGAATAACAATCAATATTTTTGCGCTTCTTTTCTTCTTACCCTATATATACTGTAGCTGATTTAAATGGAACTTCTTGGTAATCCTTTATTTTAGTGCAATAAATTAAATTATTAACTTTAAAAAAAAAATAATCAACTTATTTCAGTATTAAAAAATATTTTGTATGTAAAATACCATCTTTTTTGTTCGAATAAAACCATTAATTGTTAATTGCCATTAAGCCCATTATCATTAAATAAATTGTACGAAATTTTAAAAAAAGTAAATTTTATGAATCTTTTGTCTTTGTCATTCCCATTGCCATTATGGTAAGGTAAAGGGAATTCTTCTGTCTTCAAAGATGCCATATGTTGCACTAAAATATGAGATTACCAACTTAGTAGTAGGCCTAGTCAACCTAGTCGCAACTCTAATTCTCTAATTAAGGGGTGTCCATTAATTACGAAAACAATTTTTAAGCAATTTTTGACCCCTTCCCTCCTCTTGTCAACAACTGTCAAACTTTCAATGCCCCCCCCCCCCTTCCGAGTAATTATGTCAACATTTGTATAACCAATGAATTATAATATAATTTTATAATTAATTATATATATATATAAATAGATTTTACTTTGTGTTGATCTGTTTTAATAACACAGAATTTTAGGAAAAATATTTTATTGCATCTTTAGTTTGTTTTAACAGTTAAAAAGTTTTAACACTTAAATTTTATAATACAGACTCAATAAAAAGGTTGTAAAAACTAAATATCATTGTTTGTGGAAGTAGAAATATGATTATTGTCAGTATAGCTGACAATTGTAGCATAGTTTCTAGCTGCTATCATCTTCTCAGGAAGTAGCCAGGTGTTGCTCGATCGTAACATGGGCATAGTAATTGATTTATCATATTCATCTTGCGTAACTGATATACCAGACATGTCAACATCATCCTCATCTAACCATTCAGCACTTAAAATAGAAGCATTGTCAGTGTGAGGAATAATTGCCATAAGCTCTCTCTGTCTCCTGGCACTTGCATTAGTCGAATCCTTTTTTGTGTGGAGCAGGTGGTAATTTCTTATGCATTGTCGGTGCTGTTGAACTTGCTATTTCAACATGACTTGTGATGCAAAATAGATGTTAAAGATTTTGTAAATGCGCTCAAGCAACAATGTTATTATTTTTATTCACTTTACTTTCCCCTAATTCTCAAAATATCGTATTCCTACTCTATCAATACCATTTATCTTGACTGCACATACACTTGAACCTTGTCCTTGTTCCATACCTGCAAACACGATGGCAAACATATCGCCCTAGTCATTTGCGAAAAACAGAATCTATAGGCGAAGAGAGGGCAACATTTGACTTCTCTTGCACTAACAAAGTGTGCTAACATTCTGACCAGCTATTTGCCGTGCACAAACAGACACACATTAAATTAATATTACTGTATTTATTGGCGTATAACACACACTTTTCTCCCCGAAAATAGGGGCAAATCATGTGTGCGTGTTATACGCCGATATAATGTTGAGTTTCTTTTCCTGAAATTTTCTTCTTAAATTGTGGTGCCTGATATACGTAGGGGGGGCGTGTTATACACCAATAAATACGGTATATTGTTAAAAGCCTAAAAATTATATAACTATACTTATTTACACGCATTAAATTGGTTAAAATAATGTCAATTTTTAAGATTCAAATTTTAATAGAGAAAACATGATTTTTGGAGCTAACTAATCTACCCCCCCCCTCCACCCTTGTCAACAATTATCAAACATTTCCAAACCCCCTCCCCCTATTTTGTTTACATAATTAATGGACAACCCCTTAGACCACATGTGTCAAACTCAAAGCCCGCAGGCAACATCCAGCCTGCCGTACAATTATATCCAGGTCAACGCTATGGTGTTTCCCAATGCACACTTCGCTGAAAAACTTAACTTACTTCGCGCCGAGTTCGCAGGGCGCATTAGTGACCTTAAAGATTGAAAAAGTAATTTCGAGCTGTTTCGTAACCAATTTGTCATAGATGTGGAAACTGCACCTGTAAATTTGCAAATGGAGCTAACAGAGCTGCAGTGTAGTGGGACACTAAAGGCAAAGTACGACACAGTTGGGCCTGCACAGTTCACTTGTTTCATTCCTGAAGAGATGCCCCAGCTTCATCTACATGCAGCTCGAACCTTGAGCATGTTGGTGAACACATATATGTGTGAGTAGCTGTTTTCTGTGATGAAGATTAACAAAGCATCACACAGGAGTCGTCTCACAGATGAACACTTGCAGTCCATCATGAAAATCTCAATGACACCTATCGCTACAGCCAACATAAACTTGTTTTTGTAGCCAAGAAAATGTTCCAAACCTCCAGCTCTGACAAACTGGCATAAGAACGAAAATGGGTGTGCAAATGATTTTTAATTATTAAAACTTTTTTCTGTTTTCATTTATTTTATATATTATATATTATATTATTAATTATTATATAGCCTACATGTTTTTCAAAAAAAAGATTGTAATTTGCCTCTTATTTGAATGTTTATCCTGTGCAGCCCACAACCTTACATGTGATTTGAGTTTTGGCCCGCCAAGCAAATTGAGTTTGACACCCCTGCCTTAGACAGTACTAGACTAATACTAATTAGATATAATATATTAATATATATTAAAAAATATTGACAAAAATTCAGTGATCATCACTGTTTAGCCTGCTAAATAAATAAATTAATACATGTAAGCAGAGGAATTTTTTAAAGCGTTTGCAGTTATATACAGGCAGGCCAAGTTTTATTTTTCTTTATGTCAATGACCAAACCATTTATAAAGCAGTTAACTTACTGAATCTTTACCACTAAGCCCATATTGATGAGAAGAAGGCGTCTTCATTTCCTCAAGAGTCGCCATTTTATTTTATAATTTAATAGGAATAGCCTCCCCTTAATCTTAGTGATTGTAAACAATTTTATTTGAGAAAATTGGGAATTGATTCCAGATACGATGTGAGTTATGTTGCCATTGTATCATTTAATTTTTTAAATTATAATTAGCCCCACAGCATTCTATTTAAACCGAACTTTAAAATAGATTTAAGTGTTATTTAGGTTTACCGAAATTTATTTTTATATGTGCATAGTAGCTAGACGTAAGTGTAAGTTTAGTTAAGTCGTATACTACTACTATTAAATATAAGTCAACGTGATACAATAATAAACTAACTTAACTAATTACTAATACAACTTGTATTACAAGTTTACACTTAACTTAAGTTACATCAGCCAAGTAAACCAGTAAACTGTAAAGTACAACAAGTATATCTGAATTAATTGTGTGTGGATGTTGTCACTGTGGAACTGTCATATGAATTATTCATAGTTTCATAGACGGGATTTATTTCAGACGTTTCAGTATAGTATTTGTGGTACCTAGACGTAGGTATATATATATATATATATATATATATATATATATATATATATTATATTACAATATTACAAATAGACAGAGATTATTCTATA